CCCACCCCCCACCCCTCACCCTCCAGACTGGGTAGCTAATGGACTGAACAACTTGGTTTTATCTCCCGTTTCTCCCCTCCCCCCCAACCTGGATTCTTCTGAATCCTGATTGCTGCCAGGACCATCTCTTCTTTTTCCTACTTCATATCTGATTCTATGTACTATTCTCTCATAAAAGAATTAGCCTTAAGTTTTTAGGGTTCAGTGTTGAGTCATGTGAGGAACTTTTTTTTTTTTTTTTAATTTCCTAGTGGCTAAACATTTCCAGGTAAAAACAAGAGACCAGGACTTCAATCCAAGCTGAGTTATCCATCCTGGCACTACAGAAGAGCCTGCCTTCCTCACCAGGCTGTTTCTAATCTATTTTAAAAGGATCAGAAATGCTCAGGGTGGCTTAGCAAAAAAGTAGTATAAACACTTAGTGCTAAAGGTTTCCTGAGACTTAGAGTATGTCACTGATTGGTGATGTCACTTCTGTTTCTCATAGGTAACTAGACTTGTCACCCTTCTCTTCTGTGCATTGCCTATAGGATAAGTTTTGTTTTGTTGATGCATAAAAAGGTATATTTTCCTGAATTTTCTGAGTCACATCCACAAACATTTGAGTTGTCCTGTGAGATTGGATATGCACCATTAGGAAATCTGCTGCAGAGTCCTTAATTACTACTGCTTTACTTGACTGGAAGCACATGGATTAGAAAACAAAGTGGTGGGTCAGAGGAAAACTTCCCACTTTTAGTAACCTTCTCTTTACCCTGTCCAAACTGATCCATCTGAGATGTTTTAAATGAATGAATTGCTATTTTGTTACTGTCACTCAAGCTATCAAGAAGGTCAAGTATTGTGCGATATGCATGGATGCTGCATATAATGAAAGCAAGTCCAGCCATCTACTCTCATAGTCATGTTATAGTAACACTCTTAAGGGTGTGAACAGGACACCTGAATGGAAGAAAGACATCCTGAAATATATAGACATCTTGAAATATATATATTTAAGCAGCCTTTTAAAAGCCAATTAATTCTTATTTGTTTCCCTCTAATTCAATAAAGCAAGGGAACACTGCAGAATAGCTAGAGGAAGAAGCGGAAAATATGGTTCTGTGGAATGCTGTTTTCCTTTCAATAGCTCTGTGGTCCTTAAACTTTTTAGACTCAAGTAATCCCTCAAAAAAAAAAAAAGCTAGTTCTTCGTTTTCACTTTTTTTTTTTACTACAGGAAAAATAATAAAGCAATTCTTCTGTTGCAAAGAACTCAGGCTACAGCAGGCAGAATAGTTTTAACACTATGAATTCCTATCTGAAGTCTCCTGGTTTATCTTGTGAATCATGTTTGCAGAGCTAACAGCACTACCATTGTGTAGCACCTTGGGGCATTCTTGATCTTAAGGCACCCCAAAGTGCTTGCAGTACTCTCGGGTAGTGTTTGGGCTCTGCTGGGTTTCAAGGTATGAGAGAGAGCCACTAGCACCTCCTAAAGCAATGTAAAGAACATGCCATTTACAGTCCTGAGGATAGCTGAATTTTTGCAGCTAGTTTCCTCTCTGCTGCTGTTCCCCACCTTTTTATGGACTGTTCCCCTCCCATACGATAAGTTAAAAGAAAGACACCTATGTGCATTTCTAAAAATAGGTTACTTTATTTACTGTTGTACTGAATTTTAAAAAACAAAATACTAGAGGCAGAGAACATGGTTGAATACACAGTATTTTCAAGGTGTCTAATTCTAGTACTTTAATGGTTATGAGTATACATGTTATAGTGCAACAATAAATTATATATCTGTCATATGAATTTTACACAGTTTAATTCCTCTACACTGAAAAGCGCCTTAACAGGCACTTTGTTCCAGCAGCAGAGTGTTACTTTACTGTTTTTCCTTTTGCTGATTTGATTTTCATTTTACTTCCTGTAACTGTATATTGTGTTGGTGTTTATGGGGAAAAAATAAGTCCATGTAATACTAATTTTTCATTCTTTTACTTTGATAAGTATTTTCTGTTTTTTTGCATACTGCGGTATTTAGCAGTTTGACTATTGAGCTTATCAAACTAATGTTATCATTTTTGCAGCACTAAGGAGGCCTCAATTACTTGTGAGCTATGTGAAGGCCCAGAGGAAATGACGGAACCACTGAAACAGTGCACAGCCTGGCTTTCGGCCTACTTCTGTGAGCCCTGGGTAACAGAGAAACTTCCTATACCTTCCTTTCACCATCCAGTTTTTGAGCAAGGTTTGTAACCCAAGTAATACCGCAGTGTTTCATTTATGATGTTTTGACTTGATTAACTATCACTTACATCATATTCCCATTTTGACCACACTAGTATGGGACATTTTTTACATTACTCTAAATAGAGCTGCAAGTATACTGTAGCTACAAGGGTTTGTAATCTCTAACTGCTCCAAATGGT